TTTATTTACACGTGGAGAGTTCTTGACACTGATCCAGCTCCCTCAGAACCAGCTCTCATAGTGAACAGAATCCCAGACACTTTTCTGATGAAGGGTCTAGGCCCGAAACGTCAGCCTCTCTGCTCCTATGATGCTGCTTGGCCTGCTGTGTTCATCCAGCCCTGCACCTTGTTGTCGCGGATTCTCCAGCATCTGCAGTTCCTACTATCTCCCCTTGTCTGTCAGCTCACAAGACGAACTATATCCTCCACTGGCTCAGAGGTGAAGATCGTGCACTGCTACAAAAACAGTAATGTGCATTTCAATAGCGTCTTTAGCATCAGTATGACACTGAAACAAAATAAAAAATCAGAGAGTGTTGGAGAAACTCAGCAGGTCTGGCAGCATCTGTGAAGAGAGAAACAGAATTAACATTTCAGGTTCAGTGACCCTCAGGGTGACTGGACTTGAATCGTTAACTCTGCTTTCTCTCTCCAGAGATGCTCCCGGACCTGTTGAGTTTCTGTAGCACTCCCTGTTTTTGTTTCGTATTTCCAATACTTACAATATTTTGCACGTATTAATGTATGACATTTAGCCACTTAAAGAGATATTAGGTCAGAAGACTAAATGCTTGAGGAAAATGTTGGTTTTAAAGAGAGTCTTTGTTGATTTTATTGGGAGGGATGGGCTCGTGATCGCAGTTACCGAATATAGGCAGCCAACCATTTATGTGCAATTTCTATAAAATTTATTAAATCTGTTAAGAAATTCAATTCGACACAGGAAGAAACTATGACCCATAACGGAGATCACTTTATCCATCTGAATGACGTTTTGTTGAATGGAGAAGCAGAGCTGGTGGTTTTGGAAGGTGGAGTGTTTGTCCCTAATGTCTTACAGTCTTTTGTAGCAACAGTCCTTGTTCTTCTGTTGGGCTGACATAGGAGAAGAGATAGTAGGAACTGCAGATGCTGGAGAATCTGAGATAACAAGGCGTAGAGCTGGATGAACACAGCAAGCCAAGCAGCATCATAGGAGCAGGATGCTGCTTGGCCTGCTGTGTTCATCCAGCTCTACGCCTTGTTGTCTCTGGGGAGAAGTCCTGGTTTTCTCCCAGAGGTCACAGTCTAAGGATTAGGGGGCAGGCCATTTAAGACTGAGATGAGGAGAAATGTCTTCACCCAGAGACTGGAGAAACTGTGGAATTCTCTACTGCAGAAAGTGGTTGAGGCTAAAACACTGAATATTTTCAAGAAGGAGTTAGAGCTAAAGGGATCAAAGTGTATGGTCAGAAAATGGGAACAGGGAATGATCAGCCATGATCATGTTGAATGGTGGAGCAGGCTTGAAGGGCTGAATGGCCTCCTCCTGCTGCTAATTTCTATGTTTCTGTTTCAGAAGGTGGCTCATGGTGCTCAGATTGTGGATCTTTTCTCTCTCTCTCTCTCTCCACTTATCTGTGTTGACATATGTTGTTTTGGAGTTGTCCATTTCAGCTCTGTCTAAACACACTCGGCCAATGACCCATGGGCAGCTACTCATGGTGCCAGGGTGATCACTTGCTCATCTCCAGATTGGTTTTCATTCCTTCCAAAAGCAAAAGCTTCTTATTTTCCCAAACACTGCATTCATTATCAGGGGAGTGTGGCACCTGGTAAATCTTTTGTTTATACTTGTACGAAGCTAGCTAGTACTCCAACATACTTAGATGAGGTTTCCTGCTACTCTGGCAACGTTAAATATGGAGAATTAAAAGAACACAGATTTATCATAAAAGACCTCATCCACCCCAATTATGCTGTCACAACCTCTTCCATCAGGCAGAAGATATAGAAGCTTAAATACACGCACCGACAGGTTCAAGAACAGCTTCTTTCCTGCTGTTATAAGTCTGCTAAACAGACCTCTATAATTTCAAATCCAATGTTGACCTTGATTTTATGTACCTCCTGTGCAGCCGTAAGTTTGTATGCCTCACTCTGTCTAAGCACTCTATAATCTGTATGTCCTTGTTTGCTATGATCTGCCTGTACTGCTCGCAAAACAACACTTTTCATTGTACTTAGGTACATGTGACAACGATAAATCAAACCAAGTAAAGGGGATAAAAACCAAACGAACTGCAGATGCTGTAAATCAGGAACAAAAACAGAAGTTCCTGGAAAAGCTCAGCAGGTCTGGCAGCATCTGTGAAGGAAAAAACAGAGTTAACGTTTCGGGTCTGGTGACCTTTCAGTTCTGAGGAAGGGTCACTGGACCTGAAACGTTAACTCTGTTTTTTCCTTCATAGATGCTGCTAGACCTGCTGAGCTTTTCCAGCAGCTTTGATTTTGAACTAAATAAAGGAGATCCTAATTTCTGACATTTTAAAGCAGGTGAGTGAGGTCGACAAACAGAGAGATTTAGGGAGGGAATTCCAGAAGCTCCAGAAATTTCCTTTGCAGGTGAACACCTCACTACTGACTCAGGTAATTGCTCCATAACATCGTCTGAAGGAGTTTTATTCTCAGAAATGTCCATCAGGGAAGCAGCAGTAAGTGCTTCCTTCTTTGTTGGATTTCTGGGCCAGGCAGCATCTTCTTTTTGAGGGTGCCCCTGAGAATGTTGGTCTGGCTGGCATGGAGTCATATACAGTTCACCTCTACCTCACAACTCTACACTTTCAACCTCCTCATACATCAGAGTTAAGTATGTCAGTGATCTACTTCAATTGGGTGTCGATTGGTTTCAAAGTCTTCATTCACCCTCCACAGACAACTGTCTCAGAGAGTGAGACATTTTCACATCCTCAGCCATGTTGCTTCTCATTCCAAACCACCTCCATCATTGGCATTGACCCATTCTGCTTTGAGAGACATTCTGAATTGGAATGTTCTTCAGTGGTGAGAAGGATGGAAAATATTTCCACCCATCCCGTAAGATCCGTGACCTCCTTCCTGTAGTCGGGATAACCACGGAATGCAGGGCAGAGAAATAAGGAAGGATGTTGTTAAACTAGAAAGGGTACAGAAAAAAATTACCAGGATTTTGCCGGGACTGGAGAGGCTATATAGGCTGGGATGTTTTTCTATTGTAGCGTCGGAGGCTGAGGGGTGGCCTTATAGAGGTTTATAAAATCATGAGGTGCATGGACAAGGTGATTAGCAAGGTCTTTTCCCCAAGGTAGGGGAGTCCAAAACCAGAGGGCACAGGTTTGAGTTGAGAGGGGAAAGATTTAAAAGGGACCTGAGGAGCAACGTTTTCACATAGAGGATGTTTAATATATGGAATGAATTGCCAGAGGAAGGGGTGGAGGCCGGTACAATTACAGCTTTTAAAAGACATTTGAACAGGTACATGAATAGGAAAGGTTTAGAAGGATGTGGGCCAAGTGCAGGTAAATGGGACTAGTTCAGTTTAGGATGCCTGGTCAGCAAGGTCAAGTTGGACTGAAGGGTCTGTTTCCCTGCTGTATGATTCTATGACTCTAAATAGGAACTGGAGTAGATCATCTGGCACCTTGAGTCTTCTCCGCCATTCAATCGGAACATAGCTGATCCAACATTCCTCACCTCCATTTACCTGCCCTTTCCCCGTAACCCTTAACTCCCCAACTGATCAAGAATCTATGTTAGCCCTAAATATACACAAAGACTTGGACCATAGAAATAGGAAGAGGAGTAGGCCATTCAACTCCTGAAATAATTCTCCTTTGCAAACATAGGTCACCTCATTAGATTCTTTCTTGGTTTTGGGTTTCACCACGAATCTAGGAAGCCCAATGAAATGTTGTTGCTGACCAGTTGGCCAACGATGTCTTACTTCTGAACCAATTGTTCCCTTAGGCTCCAGTCAAACTCCTTCTGCCACCACAGGGATATTGAGACCAGTAGGTGATGCTCATTGAAAATGAATCTTGTACACACTTTCAACTGCCAAATATTGTTGGTGTTGCAGTGTTAAAATTGTAACAAAAACAGAAGTTGCTGGGAAAGCTCAGCAGGTCTGGCAGCGTCTGTGAAGGCAAAAAACAGTTCTAAGGAAGGGTCACCGGTCCCAAAACGTTAACTCTGTTTTTTCCTTCACAGATGCTGCGCATACCTGCTTAGCTTTTCCAGCAACTTATGTTTTTGTTCCTGATTTACAGCATCCACAGTTCTTTTGGTTTTTGTTAAATTGTAACATACTTTTAATCTTGGGAATTGGTCCATCTTGTCCATCAGTATTAGCTTTGTAGGTTCTTCAGTCATAATGCCTGGTCTGACAAGAGAGTGATACTCATCCATCTATCAAACGGGGATTATTAAGAATTAAGAATATTAATAATTAAGAATTCACCCATTGATGTAAATAAGCTCTGTAAAATTTGACTCAGTTGAAACAGTATGGGTACTTTTTCTATTAGAGGTTCTTCCACAGTATTGACCTCTCTACATGTGTCATACCCTTCAGTATTTTGGAACTGTGCGATGGAAGTGACCTATAGCTGTACATAAGTAGCATTGTTTTGACATGGCGTGCTTTGTTTCTGCACAGTCTGGTCACTGATTCTTCACATCTTTTGGCTTACTCTCTGTGTTGGCTTTTCACATGCCTCCTTAGAGAGTGAATATAAGTTCAGTTGCTTTCTTGAGGTAGGACTATCCTTTTCTTCTCAGGATCTGTCTGTGAGTCTTTCTACTTTCTGCATCCAGCAGAGTTGGAATAGCTTTCTCCGAAGATAAATCTTTAGACGGTAAGAAATCTGGAAGAGGCTATTTAATAATTCCAACAGCAATTCTATGTCATTATGAGTTCTGATTTCAAAGCTCCATCGTCACAGTTTTTCACTGGTATGTGGGGATCATCAATGAAATAGCTCACAGATTCTCCTTGAACCAGAACTCTTCTGTTAGATTTTATTCATTCAATAATTATATTTGTTCTCAAATTGAAGTAATCATCAAAGCCTTTTCAAATCTCATCAAAAGTGTCTGTATTTCCTTTGATATTTTTGTGATTTTTGACACTTGATATCATAACTTGATATCCGATTAATTGAATACAATAGTGTATTAATTTGTTCACCTTCAGACTTAGTATTTATTTTTGAAGCAATTCTGTATGTTGAGAATTGTCTTCTTCAAGATGTCCAATCCTGTGCCCTGTTTGGTCTAACTCTGAAAGTAGATTTATTGGAAGTAGCATTTCAACTTCGATTTATTCTGAATGTGTTCATTTTTTCCTGTTCCTTTTAAACTGTTTAATTCCACAGCATCTCAATGTGTTTGTCATCTGCTAAGATGAGGAGGAATTTCTTTAGTCAGAGGGTAACAATGAATCTGTTGAATTCATGGCCACGGAAGGCTGTGGAGGCCAGGTTGTTGAGTGTATTTAAGACAGAGATAGATAGGCTATGTTTATTCATGGGATCAAAGGTTAAACTGAGAAGGAGGATGGGGTTCAGAAATATGTCAGCCATGATTGGCTGGCTATATGGGGCCCCAGTGGCCTCGTGGTATTATCGCTGGACTGTTAATCCAGAGACCCAGATAATGTTCTGGGGACCCAGGTTTGAATCCTGCCACAGCAGATGGTGGAATTTGAATTCAATAAAAATATCTGGAATTAAGGATCTAATGATGACCATGAATCCATTGTCGATGGTCGGGAAAAATCCACGTGGTTCACTAATGCCCTTTAGGGAAGGAAACTGCCATACTTACCTGGTCTGGCCTACATGTGACTCCAGACCCACAGCAATGGGGTTGACTCTGAACTGCCCTCTGGGCAATTAGGGATGGGCAATAAATGCTGCCCATCCAGCGACACCTTCATCCCGTGAATGAATAAAAAAAGGATGATTGAATGGCAGAGCAGAATCAATGGTCCGTGTGACCTAATTCTGCACCTATATCTTATGGTCACTAAATCATTGTTGTTTTAAAATATGTTAGCTTAAAGCGTATTCAAACTTCTACCTCTTTATTCAAAATTTTTAATTCGATTCTGGAGCAATATTGTTTAAAATTCTTCAAACAAAGCTTTAACGTATGTTATAGAGTCATAAAGTTATAGAGTCCTACTGCTTGGAGACAGGCCCTTCGGCCCAAATGGGTCCATGCTGACCAAAATGTCCAACCACACTAACCCCATTTCCCTGCACTTAGCCCACATCCTTCTAAACCTTTCCTATCCATGTATTTGTCCAAATGCCTTTTAAATGTTGTTAATGTACGCGCCTCAACCACTTCCACCGTTAAGTAGCAAAACTGAATTGTGTTACTTGTTTCAAGTTTCAAGTTGTAGTAAATGGCCTATGTATTTCTATTTTGCTTGCTGGGAACCTTTTGACCTTTTGTTATGGCCAAAGTGATGGTTTCCACCTTCTGGAGGCTTTTCCTGCCTTTTGCAAACAAGTTTTCCCTCTTCTTTCCAGGCAAAATGGATGCTTTCCTGCTACAAGGCACATGCTCTTACACAAAGTTTTAAATAAAGGTCTTTGACTGCAGCCTTAGTAAATCTACCCACAGAAATCGTGATTTAAACCCTCAGTACATGGATGTTCCAAAAGCCTTAAAATTGCTCAAAAGTCCTTCTTTTGTTAAACTCGCTCTTCAAGCTATTGAATTTACTGTTTTTATTTGCAGCCTTAAATAACATCTTTGGCATTGCTGTTTTATTTTTGTGCGATGTTGCAAGATTCTCTTTCATTTTGATAGGTCACTACAACCGCATTTGGTACGTCAGGGAATAGTTGTTTAAGATATGGCAAATAAATATGTACGAGTGTCAACCCCAAAGCATTCAGAAAGCTCTCTACTCAGTAACTAGCATGCATGCTTCTGTCTCAATGAGAAAGCGATGTGTCAATCTTTTCATTCTCAATCACTTAAGCAACAAGCACAGACACAGACTGCAACCAGTGCCAAGAATTTCAACGAAGCCAGAAATATATAAGCACCTCAATTATCATTGTTCTCTGTGGTATCTGTGATGAACATGCCAGTAAGAAATTCCTCCAGGATCTGTATTTAACACATTTGTCAACTTGTTTTTGGTTGTCATGGTGTTCATTTAGCATGGAGAGGAATTTCATGAAGATAAGTTAATAAGTTTGCTACTAATCTCAACCCCGACGGTTAAAGCCACTCAGCATCTCCATGATTTTTACCAAAGGTGTTAGAGACCATGTCGATCAGAATCACAGGGATGAGGGTATACTGATTTGATTGGCTTTACTATTGTCACACGTACCTAGGTACTGTAAAAAGTTCTGTTTTGCGTGTAGCACAACTAAATCATACCATTCAAAGTGCATTTGGGTCATATAACAGAGTGAGGTATGCAATGTTACGGCTGCACACATAGCAAGATCAACATTAAATTTAAAATTTGAGAGGTCCATTCAGAAGTCTAACAACAACAGGGAAGAAGCTGTTCTTGAATCTATTGGTCCATGTGTTTAATCTTTTATATCTTCTGCCTGATGGAAGGGTTGGAAGAGATTATAACCAGGGTGGGAGGGGTCTTTGATTATGTTGGCTGCCTTTCTGAGGAAGTATAGATGGAATCAATGGATGGAAGGTTGGCTTGTGTGTTGACTGTGCTGTGTTCACAAATCTCTAGTTTCTTAATCAGTTCATATACAATATAGTAGTCAGTATACAGTCAGTTTCATTGCTTTATAAAGTCACAGCAGAAACACGACATTCCACTGAACATGTCTATGTATATATCTGTGCTCCAGAAAACCCTCTTAATATTTCACGTTATCTAACTCCATCAAAGTATTTCTTTCACTCCTTAAATATATCTATACCATTCACCTCCTGTATTGATGACTTTCTATCCTCACCACTTTTTGGGTAAAGGCCTTTCTTCTGAAGTTCCCATTGTCTTTATTAGTGATTGTCTCATGCTGATGGCTCCTCATCCTGGTGGTGGCCAAACAGGAAACGTTTCCTGTATGACTGCCCCCAGCAAGCCCTTTCATAGTCTTGACGACCTCTGTGAGGTCATCCCTCAATCTTCTACTTTCTTGAGAAAAGTGCTCCCGTGAATTCAAACTTTGCCAGATTAGTACAACATTTCAGCTCTGGTACCACTTGAATGAATCTTTCTTGAACCTTGAACATCCCCAAACATGGCAGGCAAAACATGGCATTGCCTTATATAGCAGCAGCCAATCCAAAGGCTCCATTTGAAAATAGTGACCCACTTCTCAGTGTCCCTGGCCCAATTAGCAATGCATCAGAATGACTGGGTCACCAATAGAGGAGGGGGCTGCAGGGGGAAGGAGGAAATGTTTTAAGTCCAATGAAGGAATCCTTAAAGAGGATGTGGGCTTCTCGTTGTCATGGCCCTGGCGGTGGGGGTGGGGAGGGGGGGTGTGAATATGTTGTATGACCACAATGGGCACATGGTTGCCTAAGCCAATACTTATTGCCCCATAGTGCTGTTAAGAGTCAACCACATTGGCGCAGCCATATAAGGACAACAGATTTCCTTCTCTATGGGGCATCAGTGAGCCAGATCTTTGTTGATTTTTTAAAACTTACCATTGACAGTGGTTGCACAGTCACCATGTTCTCTATTCCAGATTGTTTTATTGAATTCAAATCTCACTATCTGCCACGATGAGGATTTGAACTCACATCTCCACAACACTTGCCTGGAATTCTGGATTGCTAGCCCAGCGACATTATCACTACACCACCACCTCTCCCAAGTGAGGGGTCACGGTAGGCAGGTATTGCACCTGACACTGCGTGCTGACATTTAAACCATGCCCCTCGTGACCCCTGACCCCCGACCCACACCCCCCCCAACTCCTGACTGCTAGCTCCCATCCCAATCTCCATCTCCAGAGGCTGTCACAATCCAATGCTTCACTTGGCAGCACGCTGGTTAACATGCCATCACATCCAACAGCATGTTACCGACCTCACCCTGGAACGTACCAGAATCACTCCTTACCAATTTCCAGCACTTGTTTGTATTTGTAGGTGAAACAGAAAAGCATCTGTCCAAACCTCTTTGCAGAGGAAGGCCAGGAATATTGCATGTTGGCAAAGGGTGGGAAATGTGGAACACTGTGACTCAGCCAGAACCCCTGGGATTGGTCAAACAGCAGAATCCCTGAAATGAGATAAGAAAAAGGAAGAAAGTAACAAACCCTATAACTATTAAGTATCAGGAAGGACACTATATCGTTCTAATTAACATTAACTCTGCTTCCTCTCCACAGATGCCGCCAAACCTACTGAGTTTCTCTCGCAATTTCTTGTTTCAGATCTCCAGCATCTGCATTTCTTTGTTTTCTTCATATAAGATATTGTTCATTGTTTGTGCTACCAGTGCAGATATTAAGCAACAATACTGAATACTCGGGATTCAGATACAGAGATTAGTGGGACCATAAGTAGGCAGAACCTTTAGAGAGTCCTGCTCAACTCCGATCAGGGATATCACAGACTTGCGCTCCAAGTAGGGGAAGGCAGCTTCCCAGATTCTGGTTGAAGACACCGACCACCGATGATGTCCCCTCCTAGTGCACTGCCTTTCCAAGCCATTCGGAAAGTAGAGAATCTCCTTGTTCTAAATTGGGCAATGTTTAACAGCCAAACTTTTCTCCATCTCAAACTTTTTTATAACTAAAAAACAGATGATCCAGGAAATTGAATCAAGACACACCTCAGGTGCTTTCTGTGGCAGAGAATTCCACAGGCTCACCTCCTGTCTGGGTGAAGACACCTCTCCTTGTCTCACTCCAAAATGGCTGACCCTGTATCCTTAGACTGTGACCCCTGGTTGTGGACTCCTGGGGGTTGGAAATATCATTCCTGTGTTAACCCTGTCCAGTTGTGTTAGAATTTTATAGGTTTCTGTGAGATCCCCCTTGTTCTTCTAAACTCCAATGAATATAGTCCTAACAAAAAACGTAAAATGCTGGGGATCACAGCGGGTCAGTCAGCATCCATAGAGAGAGAGCAAGCTAACGTTTCAACTCTGATGAAGAGTCATCTAGACTCGAAACATTAAGCTTGCTCTCTCTCCTTGGATGCTGATTGACCCACTGTGATCTCCAGCATTTTTTGTTTTCAGTACAGATTCCAGCATCTGCAGTAATTTTCTCCAATATACTCCTAACCAATCTGGTCTCGCTTCATACGTCAGTCCTGCAATCCCAGGAAACCAGGCATTGAGGGTCCATGGTCCCATTGCCAGAGGCAAGATGTAGTCCGATATTGTAGCACAGGAGGCATGCAGCACTACTGGAGGTGGTGCCATTTCAAAGATACAATAAACTGATCCTCAGTCTTTTCTCTCAGATGAACACCAGAACGTTGGAGGAGCAGGAGTAGGCCATTCAGCCCCTCGAGCCTGCTCTACTATTCAATACAATCATGGCTGATCTCAACTAGGCCTCAACTCTTTCCTGCCCGCTCTCCATAACCCTTCAACCCATTAACTAATTAAAACTCTGTCTGCCTCCTCCTTAAATTGACTCACTGTCCCAGCATCCACTGCATTCTGGAGGAGTGAATTCCACAGATTCATGACCCTTAGAGGAATGCAATTCCTCCTCAACTCTGTTTAAATCTGCTGTTCCTCATTCTAATGACCTCTTAGTGTAGATTGCCCCACATGAGGAAACATCCTCTCTACGTCTACTTTGTCAATCCCATTTTACATCTTGCGTACCTCAATTAGATCTCCTCTCATTCTTCTAAACTCCAGAGAGTATTTGGCCTAAACTGCTGAATGTCTTTCCGTAAGATAAACCCCCTCATCTCTGGAATTAATCAAGCGAGCCTCCTCTGAACTCCCTCCAATGTAATTACATCCCTCCTTAAGAACATTAAATGTTGGTCAACATTACTTTGAAGCGGAGCAGGAAGAATTCTCCTTAGAACCCTGGCCCTTTCCTGAATAAACACTTAATTTGGATTATCTGCTCCCAGTCAGTTTGCTGTGCACAAATTAACTCCCACATTATCACATTGACTAAAGTTCAAATGCACACCATCGACTGTAAATGGCATTGGAGCATTCTGATGTCATGAAAGGCACTATATAAATGCAACTCTCTTTTTTCTGTTTCCCTGTGTCACTGGGTCATGGGGATGGCAGCAAGTCTGTGTCACAGGTAAACAGAGGGTTAAGAAGGCATTTAGCACCCTTTCTTTCATTGCTCAGACCTTGAGTATTGGAGTTGGGACATCATGTTGAGGTCATGCAGGACATTGGTGAGGCCTCTTCTGGAGTACTGTGACCACTTCTGGTTGCCTTGTTGTAGGAAGGATATTATTAAGTTAAAGAGGGTTCAGAAGAGATTTACCAGGATATTGCCAGGTATGGAAGGTTTGAGTTATAAGGAAAAGCTGGATAGGCTGGGACTTCTTTCACTGGAGCATAGGAGGTTGAGAGGTGACCTTATAGAGGTTTATAAAATCATGATGAGTATAGATAGGGTTAATGGTCTTTTCCCAAGGATGGGATATTTCTAGACCAGGGGGCACATTTTTAAGCTGAGAGGAGAGAGATTTAAAAAAGACACAAGGGGCAAATTTTTTACCGAGAGTGGTTCACAGGTGGAATGAACTTCCAGAGGAAGTGGTGGATGTGGGCACAGTTACAACATTTAAAAGACACTTAGATAAGTACATGAATAGGAAAGATTGGAGGGAGATGGGCCAGGAGCAGGCAGGTGGGATTAGTTTAGTTTGGGATTATGGTCAGCATGGACTGGTTGGACCGAAGGGTCTGTTTCCATGCTGTATGACTCTGTGAGGCAACTATTATTCCTGCCCCAGTTGGAAAAGTTGATGTTGGGGGAAGGAGGCAATCAGATTTGTTCCAATGTTCATTGAGTAGAAAATCTCACCAACACTTACAGACTGAGCTCACACAAGTGAAGATGACCATGAACATAAAGCTTGATAGGGTGTCTCACCCATCATTGAGGACCTTCAGGAAAGGAGGCAAGAAATTTGGGCAAAAATACACCTGAAAATGTCTGACTCCTACTATTGAAGGGAAATAAATGACGGACGATATGGGTTTAGTAACCAGATCTGAGATGTAAGTTCATAGCTAACTTCACCAAGGTCATTGTCCATCCACCTCCCAAAAGACTCCATTTTGGGAGGTGATGGATAATGAATCTTTTTATAAGGCTGTTACTATATTAACTGATGGTAAACCATAATCAGCTATCAGCATTTATGTGATGCCTTTTCAATATTGACATGACCCTGAGGCTATTTAATCATTTGTCTGGAAATTGATAACCTTTTCACTTTTACGTGGAATCAATATCATTGTCACAGGGATAGAAAGACAAAACATCCCAAATGGGGGGAATTTAATATTACACTGCAGCAGACAGGACGAAGCATCTTGTTCCCCTGAATAGATCATGGACTTCCTAACTCACAAGCAACAAATATAAATGGACAGGATTCAACACCTGGATGGACACACTTTCATTCAAATTTAATCTGGAAAGTTTGCAGAAAACACTAAATTTAGAAGAATTGTAAACAGTGACGAGAACAGTGAGGTGCAGAAAAGATTTACAATGATGTTGCCAGGACCAGAGGGTTTGAGCTACGGGGAGAAGTTGGATAGGCTGGGATTATTTTCCCTGGAGTGTCGGAGGCTGAGGGGTGAATTTATAGAGGTTTATAGAATCATGGGGAGCATGGAAAGGGTGAATAACCAAGGGTAGTCCCCAAATAGAGGGCATAGGTTTAAGGTGAGAGCAGAAAGATTTAAAAGGGACCTGAGGAACAGTTTTTTCATGCAGAGGGTGGTGTGTGTATGGAACGAGCTGCCAGAGGAAGTGATAGCGGCTGGTATAATTACAACATTTAAAAGGCATCTGGATGGGTGTATGAATAAGAAGGGTTTAGAGGGATATGGGCCAAATGCTGGCAAATGGGACTAAATTAATTTAGGATATCTGGTCAGCATGGATGAGTTGGACCTAAGGGTCGGTTTCCATGCTGTATGGCTCTATGACTCTATGACAGCATGGAACTCCAAAAGGACATTGATAAGTTGGTGGAGTGGGTGGATAGGTGCCAGACAAGGTTCAATACAGGGAGTGTGAGGTTGGAAGAACATTGAAAGACAATATAAAATAGGGGGTACTATTTTAAATGGGGTGCAGGAGCAAAGGCAGCTGGGGATACATGTACACAGCTCACTGGAGGTGGCAAGACAGGGGGAGAGAGCAGTTAATAAAGCAGACAGTGTCCTCGGCTTTATTTGTAGGGACGTAGAGTACAAGGGCAGGCAGGTGGATGTTGGAATAAAATGATGAACTGTGGATGCTGGAGGTCTGAAACAAAATCAGGAAATGCTGGAGAAACTCAACAGGTCTGGCAGGATCTGTGGAGACAAAGCAGAATTTTAAAAAAAATTAAGAGTCGACAGTGATCCTCCTTCAGATATTGAACTTGTACAAGACACTTATTGGACCTCGGTTGGGATACTGTGCCACATCGTATGAGAGATGCAAATGCGTTGGAGACAGTGCAAAAGCAATTTACAAGAAGGGTTCCTGGAATGTAAATGTCAGTGATGAGGATAGATTGAAGAAGTTGGGGCTGTTCTCTTTGGAGAGAATAAGGCTGAGGGGAGATTTGATAGAAGTTTCCAAAATCATGAGGGAGCTGGACAGACTAGATAGAGAGAAACTGATCCCACTTATAAAGGCACAAAAGAACAGGGACATAGATTTAAACTGATGTGCAAATGAAGCAAGGGCGATGTGAGAAATAAACTTTTCTGCACAGTGAGTAGTTAGGATCTGGAATACACTGCCTAGAAATGTGGGTGCAGGCAGGTTCAACTGAGGCACTTAAGCTGGAATTAGATGGTCATTTGCTAAGAAGTATGCAGGGATATAGAGAAAAGGCAGCAGACTGGAACATAGTAACAGGAGTAGGCCATTCAGCCCCTCAAACCTGTTCCACCATTCAATGAGATCATGGCTGATCTGTGACCTAACTCCAAAAATTTGCCTTCGGCCCATATCTCTCAATATCTTTGCTTAACAAATGTTTATCTATCTCAGATTTAAAATTAACAACAGATCCAGGATCCACTGCAATTTGCGGAAGAGAGTTCCAAACCTCTACCACCCTTTGTGTGTTGAGATGCTTCCTAACATCTCTACTGAATGGTCTGGTTCTCATTCTGAAGCTATGTTCTAGAATCCCATAATGCTGGATTGGCCCTAAGGAATAGAACCAGTGTAAGGGCTGAATGGTCACCTTCTGTACCATAACAATTCTGTGATTCTCTAATGTGACCAAGATTCTGTGCCAACACTGTATAAGATTTGCTCACCTTTTGTGTGCCCATGCTCCTTGTCATAAGGCATGAATGGGGCAGCATCATTGTAGATAACGTATGCTCTGTCGTTGACCTGTTGTCAGAGGGAAGATAACAAGCAAACATATATAGTTCATAAAGTCAGGCAAAGTAAAATGAAGATGAAAAGAATAGGTGCGTAAGTGACAAATAAATCTAAATAAAGATGCATAGTTGGTGTGTTTCTATTTGTTGTATAAGACGGTAGAATAAGGGGACTCCCATTGAAGATTGAAGTGAAGAGGAATTTTTGGAATTGCTTCTTCAGTTTTGGAATTAACCACCCCAGGAAGCAGTGGAGCCTGGTTCATTCATTAAAGGCAGAGGTAGACAGCGCTTTGATCTACAAGCGAGTCATGGCGTTTGAGTTGGGGGTTTCTGCATGAGTGAGTATGTAAGTAAATAAGATCTAGGAGCAGGACGAGGCCATTCAGCTCCTCGAACCTACTCCACTATTTAATATAATCATGGCTCATCTTGTCTCGGCCTCAACTCTACTTTCTTGCCTACTCCCCGTAACCCTTCAACCCGTCACTAGTTAAAAATCTGCCAATCTCTTCCTTAAATTTTCTCAATGTCCCAACATCCACCACACTTTGGGGGAGTAAATTCCACAGATTCATGACCCATTGAGAGAAGTAATTTCTCTTCATCTCTGCTTTAAATCTGCCAGCCCTTTATCTTAAAACTATGACCTCTTGGTAAGGTAATGTTAAGGCCACAATCAAATCAGCCATGGGTTTTAAATCCATTCACAGGGTGTGGGCGGCACTGGCTTGGCCAACATTTATTGCCCATTCCTATTTCCTTGGGGGAGGTGCCTAGAGAAGGCGAGCAGCCATCTTGAACTGTACGTTATGTGGTGAAGGAACACTGACAATGCTGTTTGGGGAGGAGTGCCAGGGTTTTGACCCAGTGACAGTGAGGGAACAATGATACAATTGGAATGAAGATAAAATTCCACGTCAGGGCTGGATTTTTCTTGGAGCAGAATTATAGTTGGTGTTGCCATGTATTTCCGGCCCTTGTTCTTCGAGATGGTACAGATTGCGGGTTTGGAAGTTGCTGTCCAAGGAGTCTTGGTGAATTGTTGACCAAGCCACTCAGTTGTATCTGACCATGAAAAGGTCTGATCTTATTGAATGGCAGAACAGGTTTGATGGGCTAAAAGATCTTCTCCTATTTCTTTTAATGCTATTCTTATGCCTCCATGGCTTTGAGAAGTGTGCATCTAAATAAAGAAAAGGTACAAAGTCATCTTGAGATAAATTATTAAAAGTAACACATAGAAGGTTCATTTTGTTGTATATTTTTCTCTAGCACTTGTTGGCACAATTTGTAAGAAATACCATTTCAAGGGGGAAGTTAACATTTATATTGCATGAGAAGAGCAAGCTGATTGTTTGGCAACTGGACTTTGCTGAAGGCATTGCTGCAGAGAATACATAACTGCAGTTAACTATCAATCATCATTAAATGGTGCATTCTCCATGAGAATGCCTCTACCAATCAGAGTCTACTTGCCAACAAAGTAGCACTCTCCTCTCATGCAGTATAATTGGTTGGTTGCCTCTTGAATTGGTGTTCTTGCGAATTGTCCTGATGAGTGTAAGATGGAAAGCTTCAACAAAACATAGCTGTTTTCGGAAACGCACAAGTTTAGTCCCACTGAATGACTATTCATTGAAAATAGTAACACAGGTTCATAAAGACATCAGAAAGATGGCAAACACTGCATTAGCAATCATTCCTAGGGTAGAACTGAAAAACAAAGATGTTGTGTTAAACACAAAAGTCCTCTGGTCAGAGATAGTAGGAACTGCAGATGCTGGAGAATCTGAGATAACAAGGTGTAGAGCTGGATGAACACAGCAGGCCAAGCAGCATCAGAGGAGCAGGAAGGCTGAC